TATTTTTTCTGTCTTTCTCTTTTTTGTTTTGCTGCAAATCTTATGGCTATTCCTCTAAAAAAAGCCTTACTTGCCTCCCAAACCATAAACATTGAGATGTCTGGCCTCATATTCTGTTTAAAGAAAAAGTCCATTTCTTCTTTTACTTGTTTCTTAAATTCTTCATTTTTTAGATGTAGTATATCCAGCTTTCAATTAAATTCTCTTGTTCTACTTCCTACTTGTAACAAAATTGGGTTATGGTCTGCAAAAGTATTGGGTAGAATATGTATTTGTTCCAATTCTTTCATTAGGTTTGTTGATATCCAACATGTATCAATCCTTGACCACGATTTATGCCTGTTAGAGTAGAAAGTATAGTCCCTTGTCTTTGGATTACATGTTCTCCATGCATCTACGATGTTTAATTCTTCTGCTAATTGTAAGAAATTTCTTGGAATCGTGCTTCTCTTCTTTTTACTTGGTTTTTCTGTTTTTATGTCTAGTTCTCTGTCAAAAACAGCATTATAATCTCCAATTACGCAGTAGTGATCATATTCTTTATTTGCCAATTCTCGTTGCAATTGTTTATAAAAAATTTCTTGATTTGCATTTGGTGCATAAATGTTGACTATTAGGAATTTTTTAGATTCTCTTTGAATTTCCACCATTACTATCCTTCCATCCTCTGAAGCAAAGATCAGACAGGGCTCCCATTCCTTCTTAATAGAGATGGCCACTCTTTTCTTCTTTTTGCTCACGTCTGAAGCCGCAAATAGTTTTCCTAATCTTGGCCATTCTAATAGTTTCAAATCCTTTCTTTTCACATGCGTTTCTTGGATGCATATAACATCAGATTTCTGTTTCTGCAGTTGTAGAAAGATCTTTTTTCGCTTTTGGGGTGAGTTTAGGCCATTTACGTTTACTGATAAAATCTTCATTTGTTTTCTAGACATCTTGATTTGGATTACTATCCTTTTGTTTTTTCTTCATCATGCTTCTGGTACATCTTGGCTCTATTGCTTCTTGCTCTCCTGACTCAGTGTCTCCTGACTCAGTGTCATCCCTTATGTTAAAAAAATAAAAAAATTGAAAAAACCCTCTTAAAATACGACTTTCCAAAACAACCCTGCCAAAAGTAATGTTCCGAAGTAGTAAGAGTTGCTAAAAAAGTATAGTACCCTGTTTCCCCCAAAATAAGACCTCAACTGAAAATAAACCCTAATATGTTTTTTCAGGATGCTGCTAATATAAGCCCTACCCCCAAAATAAGCCCCAGTTAAGTGAAACCCTGCCCTCCACCCTTGTGCAGCAACCAGAAGATGACATGACTGTATTTGAATAAATGTAGATTGTTGTACATAAAAAAATATAAAACATCCCCTGAAATAAGCCCTAATGCATTTTTGAGGGCAACAATTAATATAAGACCCTGTCTTATTTTCAGGGAAACATGGTATTTATATTGTTGATGTGAAATGCTTGAATGTAACCATCATGCTGACCTGCCTTACCTCAAAAAAGGAGACTTAATGCTGTTACTTTTAACTTGCTGTTTGCAAACTCCTCAGATAATTAAGGTAAGCACCTCCTCATCCCCAATTCTCTGACACAGTGGAGGCTGCTGACTCCAGGGTCAGTGGGTACTAAGTTTCACCTGGGTGTTCTTCCAAACATCACAGGAGGTGTGTAAGTGGCCAAATGCTTTCCCTGTCACCTTAGACAGCTCCTTTACAGCTTGGACTGAAACCCTGGGGTAGCTTCAGTGCCCCTCTGAAATTGGAGCCTCCTGCCTCCCTTGTCCAGAAAGGAGAAGACGCAAGAAGGTCTTCTCTCTTGCCCTGCCCTTTCTCCATTCCTCCTCCATCATATGGTGGATTTAGGTGAGTGGGCCGCCTCCTTTTGAGTGG